GTGGTCTCTTTCAACTCTATGATTCTATGCTTCTATGATTCTATGATTCTAGTACCCACTGACAGCTTTATTCTTCATAAATCTATCTAATCCCCTTGTAAATCATGCCAGAGTGGTGGTCATGACAACACCTAGGATTAGCAAATTCCACTTTGGTTATGTGCTACTTTGCACTTTATTCTGTGGGTGTATCAGCTGTATCAAAGTTGTATCAGTTTCATGCCTCTTTAACTGTCATTTGTTGTGTGCCCTGAAGTCATTTCCAATTTATGGCAAGTTATGGTTTTCGTGCCAAGATTTGTTCGGAGGTGGTTTGCATCATCTTCCCCTGAGGCTGAGAGCATGTGACTTGCCCAAGTTCACTCAGTGGGTTTCATGGCCAAGGTAGGAATCAAACCTTGATCTCCAGAGTCATAGTCCAGCAACCAAACCACTACACCACATTGTCATAGTACCTTTCTATCAAATCCTGAGAATTGTGGTTTCATGTAGTAGTTGCATTTTTACCTAGACACACATTAAAATTCTCTAGTAGAAAATTGGAAATGCCTCCCCAAAGACAAATCCCAGGATTCCATGAGCTGAAGTGGTACAAAATTGTTGTCACTGTGCAGTGTACATACACCTCATCCATTCTGAATCTCTCATCATTCTGTCTGAAACTCTGCTCAGTATTGGTGGAGTGTATATCTCCATGTGCACGATTATAATGTTGCAATGCTTTGAGTGGGGTCCCAATGGGCCATCCCAGTGATCTTTCTGGGCTGCGGCAGGAGAACTGTGGGCCTTTGCAGACTGTTAGAAATAATGCAAATTGAGTCCACTTTAACTGCCCTGACTCAGTGCTGGGGAATCATGGGAATTGTATTTTTTTCTGGGACATTGAGCTTTCTCTGTCAGAGAGCTCTGATGCCACAATAAACTACAGTTCCCACGATTCCCTAGCACTGAGTCAGGGTAGTTAAAGTGGACTCAATTTGCACTATTTTTGGCAGTCTGCAAAGGCCCTGTGTTTCATACCAGACTTGCTTTTTCAGGACTAATTATCCTGTGAGTGAATGGGAATCTGCTTGAGTAGAGAGGTATTGAGTAGGAGGTACTAATTACCTTCTTATGCAAGAGCGTAAAAAGCTTAACCACAAGCATAACCCAGTCATTTTGGAATAATGTCCTAATTAGATTCCAGCCTCAGTTTCACTGGGTAGTTCTGGGCCCTTTCTATTAAGCCAACACTGTTACCTTGCCCTCAGTGTAGCCCCCTGAATATTTCAGCTGCCCTTCCCTGTACCTTTTCAAGCTTTACAAAATCTGTACAAATGTATAGTAAGATGCAATGATCAGAACTATATGTGGTATTTTCAAAGTGAGGTCATATCATCGATTTATATCAAAGCACTGTGATATTGACAGTTTTATTTTCCTTTATTTTCCTTATGATCCCCAGAATGGTATTTGCCATTTTCACAGCAGCTGCACACTGAATTAATGTTTTCATCAATCTAACTGCCACAATCCCAAGGTATCTTTCTTAGTCAGCAGTGCCTCAAACCCACACAGCATATAAAAGAAGGTAGGATTCCTTGGGTTTAACTTTACATTTGGCTACAGTAACTTGCATTTGTCATTTTAATCCCTTCTCACCTCCAGTTTGGAGAGGTCCTTCTAAAGCTCTTCACAATCCCTTTGTGTTTTAATTACCGTTAGTAAGTTGGTATTTTTAGCTACCATGGCCCTCTTGCTGCCCAACCCCAATTCAGATCATTTCTGACATTAAAAGAATCTCTTTGCTGGAAAGAAAAAATTCAAATGAAATAAGATAAAGCTGAGAGCACCAGTCCCCACAGTCTTAGGGGACCACATGGTTTATATTTCTCCATTGTAAGACTGCCCATTTGTAAAGATTCTTTACTACTTGTTTTTATACAGTTGTGTGCCTTCAAGTTATTTCTACATATGGCAACCCTAAGGCAAACCTATAATGTGATTTCCTTGGCAAGATTTGTTCAGATGAGGTTTGTCATTGCCTTCTCCTGAGGCTGAGAGCATGTGACTTGCTCAAGGTCAGCCAGTGGATTTCATGTCCTAGCAGCAAACACTGGTTTCCTGAGTCGTGGTCCAACACTCAAACCAAAACGCCACAGCATTACCAATCCTTTAAGTGAACTTGTCCATTTATTCACTAACATCTTTGGTGCTAGTTTTTGGGGGATGTTTTTCAAGTCAAAGCAAACAATGTCTATTATCTTACTTTTATCCAGTGCACATTGACACTTTCAAAGAATTCTAAAAGGTTAGTGGGACAGGATGTATCTTGTCTGGAAGAAAAGCACAAATAAATCACATAAGCAAACAAATATAAATTTGCACTTTATTATTTTATTTATTTAAATATTTAAATGTTTAAATATTTATTTTACAGTATATAGCATCCTATAGCCAAGGAACTCAGAGCAACATACATTAAATCCAATTTTAAATGTGAAACTATATATATTACTGATTTATTTTATACTCTAAAAACATGTTGAACTACTTAAGAAATTAAAACAATTTTAATAAGGGAAAACTATATATTTTTGCTGAGTGGATAAATCATCAGACCCCAGTAAAAACCCATTTTTCAATTTGGCTCCAAATACAACCAACTGGCACCAACTGGGCCTCTAAGAGGAAATTGTTTCATTGCCCACCTGCAATGAAATGATGTTTTTTAACATCAGAGTCAGAACATCAGCAATTGGACATTTGCATGAATCAGAGTTGGCAGAGACCACAAGAGCCATCCAGTCCAACCCCCTGCCATGCAGGAATTCACAATCAAAGCATCCACTAGAGATGGCCATCCAGCCACTGTTTAAAGACTTCCAAGGAATGAGACTCCAGTTCCTCAGTTCCTTGAACTACTTAAGCCATTGGTTCTCTCCCCCCCCCCATCTTTTGCACTGCACATTTGGTTTTCTACAGTCTCTTTTTCCTTACACCCTTTCAACCTCCTTGTCATCAAGCAGTCCAACCACCTCTCTAAGCAATTTTTTCCTTCTGTTGCATTTACATAAAGCTAATGGATGGCCTTGATGTTTAATGTAGTGTAGTGGGTTGGGTCTCTGCCACCAGGCAAGTGGGATTTAGAATCCTTGCCAACATGAGGACCAGATATTACTAACAAGCCAGTAACACAGAATGGGTTAACCTGTATTACAAACCTTGTTAGATAGATTAATTGATTGATTTAACATTAGCTTGGCAGTCTGAAATAGATGAAGGCTGATCACAGACTGAGTGAGTGAACTTTCCTCTGTTACTAACCTGCTTGTACAGTTTTCATATATATGGGGGGAGTAGATGGGACATGCATATGTACTTCATTTTTGTTTGCTTCTGCACTCTATCACCCTTGGGAGTTCATCTTCCATTGACCTCACCCTGGGGCTCCTAATTTAGACAGCTCTGGGAAATTGGATTGCAATCCCTGGTAGAATTTGGGTAGAGCATGGGTAGTTTGTTGTTTTGGGGCCCATTCTAACATTGGCCGTAAGAGGATGTTGGACCCCATTAATAAAAGGGCTGGAATGCTTCTCTGCTCTGTACTATATGCCACATCATTTACCAACAATAAAGCTTATCATATAGTACTGTAGTACCATGAATGAAGATATACCACTAAACAAAGTCTTGGAGAACTTTGGAACTAAACCCTGTTGCAGAACAGAACAATTGGTTTCAAATGCACACTTTTGGGTTAGAAATTTACTGCCCAAGCACCTGTCCAACCAGTTTCAATGCAAAATGTAGATAGAACAAGACTTCATAATAGGAAGCAGAAACACACTGAAGCCTGACTTATACAAAGCACAGTGACTTCATTCCCAAAATGCACAGGTTAGTATAAATCCTCATCTAAAGCATGTATCAACTAAATGCAATAAAAGTCACTTTAATATGGGCAGAAGGAAAGCATTCCAGAAAAGCAGCTTTACAAAGCCAATTAAATTAAGTATTAAAATGTATTAGCTGTCACTAGGCATCATGCTGAGTCACTGAGAAAACTGCAATACAATGAACAGACAGCTTCAGTTCTTTAGATATGGAAAAGGATGTTGCCAGAAGGAGAACGTTGACTATTGTTTAAATATGCTAGATAATAGATGACAGGTGTAGACAGGCAAGAAATGCACAGTCCGCAGAGGACATCTTTCCGACAAGTATATCCAAGAATTTATGCCAGAATTGAAAGTCAAAAGAATAATAACACAGACCTGCAAAACTGAAAGTGATAAAAACTTTAAAAATGTTTGCTGGCTTTATGATAATTTGATGTTCTAAATCCAATGGAAACTTGGTCTTTCATACAGTTTTTTTTTTTTTTTTTTTTTACAGATTGCTTTGGCATTTCTATGGTGTAATATGTGACTGAATGAAATAATCCTGCAAAAAATTATCCACAAAGAGTGGGACAGTGGTTAAAGTCTTCTTCACTGATATGAAACTCAAAAATCAATTCAAAGGCAATAAAAGAAATCACACTGAAACATCAGCGCTCACAATTAAAGCTGAGTAACAGAACTGATTAAAAAAATCAAATTTGTGAATGAATTGCATGTGGTACAACATTTTTATTGTGCATTTCAAATTCACCTGACAAAAATACATTGTAGAGCTACAAAACTGAAGAAAGTTTTTGCATCATAGGCCTGTGTAATTGATGTAAATTATTACTGACAGAAAACTAGTTCACTGGCAAAAAGCCTGTTTCCAACAATCCTGACTATGAGGACAACTCACCAGCCTTGACTCCATGATCAAATTCTGAAATTCAATGAGTTGTATTAGTAATTATAGTAGCTTTATAGAAAAAGCTGTGAAAGATTACCATATATACTTGATCATAAATCAAGAAATGTATGACTCAAAATTGACCCTAAAATCCTGGGTTGACTTATATATGGGTCAATATACTAATAGTACATAGAAAGGTCCTAAAACAAGCAAACCCCACTATTGGTGCCTTGAGGCACATGTTTTTCTGTGTGTGTAGAAGAGGTTCCCGGTCTGATTTGCAAGGCTTGTCTTGCCAAAAACACCTTATTGAACACCGCTTCCTTCCCTCCCCATTCCGATCTGAAGGCTTCTCTTCCCATGGAATAAACACATCATTGAACACCACTTCATTCCTTCACCAGTCCGATTTGCAAGGCACCTCTTTCCATGGAAGAAGCTCCCCATTTAACACCATTTCCTTCCCTTCCTGATCCGATTTGCAAACTTTCTTTTCCCATCAAAGAAACACCCCTTTTAACTCCACTTGCTTCCCTTCTCAAACCAATGTCAAAGCCTCTCCTCCAGCACCTGGGAATTGCTGTTAGGTGGTTGGGAAAGGTCCAGAGGAGGAGAAGAAAGGATGAAATTGGTATTTTCCTCTTTCCATCATTTGTTATAGTCCCCTAAATT